CCCCTCTTGTCTATGCTATTTCTTGATCTCCAGGGATTAGCAGCTTGGAAACCACATTTCCATAGGCTTCTGGTTTACTGCAGCACTTGCCCCAGAACTGGAAAGAGAAAGAGAAAGGGAAGACACTACTGTTTGGCAGTTGTTGGTGAGTACGTGGATGGCGGCAGATGGCTGGAATGAGGTTTGGCCAGCAGCTTTCAGAATCTCATAAAAATTTGGTACAGATTGGCCTCACAGAGAAAGGATGTAATTCAAGAACCAGAGGTCTCATGTGGGATACATGTGGTATGGCAACAGCACCTATGGGGGCAGTCTGTGTCAGTATTAGGAACTGATTATCTCAATTGTCCTCAATGAATGGTCTGATCCTCAGACATTACGGCTGACTTCCCTCTTCTTTGGAATTACCAAGTATGAAGTTCTCTCTATACTCTGTTTTTGGTTGGCTTTGGTTCTGCTTACTCATAGTTCCTGAGGTCTCTTTTGCTTTCACTGTCCTCTTACCCCTTCCCATAGTTCTCCATTTGAGTTCTCAAGAAAGAGAAAATGACTAGCCCAGGTAATCGCTCCCATCTCTACTTGAGCAGCCTTAGTGGTACCTCTCTAAAACTTCATTTCTTGGGATCCCTGGGTGGCGCAGCGGTTTGGCGCCTGCCTTTGGCCCAGGGCGCGATCCTGGAGACCCGGGATCGAATCCCACATCGGGGTCCCGGTGCATGGAGCCTGCTTCTCCCTCTGCCTGTGTCTCTGCACCTCTCTCTCTCTCTCTCTCTGTGACTATCATAAATAAATAAAAATTAAAAAAAATAAAACTTCATTTCTTTATCTGCAAAATGGGGATTATATCACTTACCTATGTTGCAGAGCTGTTCAAAGAATCGGAACAGATAATGTGTGTGTAGCAGCTAGTGTGTGGCACTGGCAATTAATGCTCATCTCACATTAATTCTTTCATTCTCTTTGCCAGAAGTCCATGCATAGTAGTGCTTTTCTCTGGATTAGCAGCATTATAGGTACTTAACATGTATTTGCTGTATGTTAATAAAAACTGTGTGTATGTGTAAAGAGAAAGAAAGTGAGAAACATTTACTTAATATATAGCCAGCCAGGTATTTAAAGTTGGATATTCAAAAAAATAATGCAGATGTAAAATAAAAACTGGAGCAAATGCTATTGTTGAGTATGTTATCTCTTTTCAAATATCTGCTATTTTATTATCTTCTCAAGTTTAAGATGGCTCCAGCTTTCCATTCCTGGGTTTCATACCAAGTTCTACCAAAACAATGAAATAAATCTTTCATACATCTATCTGGAAGGCTCCTTAATTCCCTTCCCTCATGTTTATTCTCTAGCCCACCATGTACCATTTATTCTAATGCTGATTTTGACAAAAGAAGCATGAAATCTATACATGCTTTGCATCAACATTTCATGAAGAGGCCACATATAGATATGCCAGAGGGAGAAAATATGAATGTTTTTTAAATCCATCTAAGTTGCTCTTTTGTATCTATTTATATTTATGATGTAATATTCACACACATTCTGGCTATGACCTTTTCCAAAATCCAGAACTATCTAAAACAAGACCAAACAAAAAATACTCCAAGTGCTTGAGCTGTGTTATAGGGAAAACAATGGTACAGGCTAAAAATCAGACCTGGGTTTGAGTCCTACCTCTGCTAATTATTATGAAGCAGTTAGACATTTCTAAGCTTGGGAGGAAGCATAGTGAAACAGATAAAAATGCAGGTTTGCAGGATAAATGCTGCAGTAAACCAGAACTGATTTTACTGTACTTGTCTGCATGCTTTTTAGTGATCCAAATTACATGCATGCCCAGGAAATGTGAGATACATGTGGTATGGCAACAGCACCTATGGGGGCAGTCTGAAGGTGGAAAGCAGGAGGAAAGAACCCAAAGGATCAGAGCCTATGAGCTAGAGCATGTGTAGTCAGTGGCAAGAGGTCTGGCCTAAGACAAGATAGAGCCAAACATAGGGCTGCTTCTCTTGAAAAGGAGCATGTAGTTGTCTGTTCCATGTAGTGATTATGACATTGCAGGTAAACAGTTGCTAGGCTAAGGTAGAAGCAATCATCTTGAGTGTACATAATTACCTGGTTTTAATACTTTAAATAACTTTTCTCTGTTTAACAAATTATTTGTAAAATATCAGAAACCTAATGGGGATAGATAACAATCTGCTACCATAGACTTCCTTTCACAAAATAGGAAAAAGAAAGGTATTTCATGGCATTTTTAGTATATTTGCTAACCACCAAGTGGATCAGTAAGAGTTAAAGAAGGAATATTAATAGTATGAGAATTTCTTTGCTTTCTGGGAGTTGGCTAGGGGATAACTGAGGTTGGAAAGACACTTATTATCCTTGGGAACATGAACTAACTGTGAGACTTGCTGATGTTAGGGCAGAGTGAGTCAGGAAGCTACTTAAAGTTCTTCCGGTTTATGAGCCACATTTGAAATAATTACTATTTTCTGTATGAGAAGACATTCACAACCTCAGGCCTGGCTTGAAAACAGACAGAATATATGTCAGATTTGGGGATCTGGAGCTACTTTTGCCAATGCCAGCCTTTTAAAATGTTGCTTGTGCTCTCGAAACATTTGTATTGAGCATATGCTAGGTGATACCAATTCGTACATAATTTAATAACCCCTTGAGCTATGTCCCATTAGCTCCTACTTTATAGATAAAAGAAACTGTAGGATTTTACCATTCTGCCAATTGTATCTTGGGCAATTGCTAAAAAAGAAATTCGTCATCACTGTTGCACATATGATCTTGTATTGTCTTGGTTGTCTACTTGATGATCTTGCCCCCTAATGTAAATACTGGCTCCTTAAGGAAGGTCAGCACAGGCCTCAGGAGACCATAACCATACTCTGATGCTCCAATGTCCACTGACTGGCTGTGCAGCTTTGGGTAAATTGCTTACCCTCACTGGGCTGTGTGTAAAGGTAGGGGATTGAAGGAGAGCCCCAGCAAAGTACCTCCCCACTCTGTGCTCCATGGTATCACAAAGAGGGCAAACACTCGCTCAATTTTAGTCTTTTTCATGGCCCTGAGCTTAGAGGACTCTTGCATTACAGCTCTTGAACTGTTAAGAAAATCTGCTGTGCTCATGTGCCTCTGTATCCTGGTGCTAAAAAACCTCAGCCTTTGCTTCTATAAAGAAGTCCCCCTTGAAAGTGGAATTTGACATAAGACTATGATCATTAAAGACAATCATCACCAGTCAAGACTAAGTGACAGCTCCCAGTCACAGCACTGCCTGGCTCATATTTCATTTTAATCTTTTAATAATCTTGTACAGGATAATTATTATTCCCATTTTACAGCTGAGAAAACATGCTACTTTGCTGGGAAATATATGAGACCTAAGAAAAATTATTTTTTACAAAGATTTCTTTTTTTTAGATTTTTATTTATTTATGAGAGACACACAGAGAGAGAGAGAGGCAGAGACACAGGGAGAGGGAGGGGCAGGCTCCCTGTGGGGAGCCCCATGTGGGACTGGATCCCAGGACCCTGGGATCACGACCTGAGCCGAAGGCAGATGCTCAACTGCTGAGCCACCCAGGCGTCCCTATATGAGACCTTTATTAGTCTTTCATTTGCTACTCTGGAGAAAAGTGTCATAGATTTCCCAGGATAAGTCAAAAGTTACTTAACTATAAGTAATAAATGCTAAAAAAAAAAAAGTAATAAATGCTGCTAGGAATCCAGCACTCAAGTTAATACAACAAACAACACACAATCCTTATGTATGTGTTTTAATCAGACTTAAAGATAGTCTACATGTATTAAAGGGCATTCCTGATTTCTGAAGCTAAGCAGTTGTTCTTCTGGCTGTTTCCCTCATAATGGCATGAGGACTCTGGGTTTATACAAGGTATATGGTTATCTCCATGCTATTATCATATTTACATGCAAAGAATTCTAGTTTTCCTAGAGAAGAATAGCTTTCACAGGGTCAAGGCTTTATGGGAAAAACAGACTGACATAGTTTCTCCTTTTCCTCAGAAGCCTTCATAGCAGCAAGGCTCAGCTATGAGCACATATTAACTGAGAAACTTTATCTCTAGAAGGCCAACTAAGGGTACCAAGGGAGGTGATATGGGGATGGCAGGGAAGAACTGGGAAAGGGATGGGATCAGAAGCCCCGGCCACAGTACAGAGAGGGCAGGCCTCAGCATCCTCTGGTTGCAGGATTTGAAACCTGTAAAGGACAGCATTGGCTGATGAGATGGATTATGGGTCCAGGAAGAGTAGGGCATCCTATATCATTTGGAAAAACTTGCTCTCTACTGCTGATCCAATACAGTAGCCACCAGTCCCAGGTGGCTATTTCCATTTAAATGATTAAATACAATTTAAAATTCAGTTCTTCTGTCAACATGGCTAGCAGCTAAGGTCTTGGGAAGCACAGATTCATTTCCATAATTGCAGGCAAGTTCTAGTAAACAGCCTTGCTTTAGAATCTAGATTATATGAGAAATCAACACTTAAAGGCCTTAAAGTTTATTCCCAGGGAAGTCTACATTACATAGTGGTTAAGAGTACAAAAACTCTCTACGCTCAAATCCTAAGTCCAAGCTTTGCTAGCTACGTGTGACTTTGGGCAAGTTGCTAACCACTCTGTGCCTTAATTTTCTCATCTGTAAAGTGGGCGTTATAACCGTTCAACTTTTACAAAGCTGTTGTGAAGGTTAAATGGGCTAATGTCTGTCAGGCACTTATAACAATTTTCAACACATAGTAAGTGCTATGTACATGATAGTCCTTAATGTTACTAGTTTCACAGTAAAACATACTTCTATAATTTTGTGCCTGTGACTGGGTAATAGATGCAAGCTGATTCACACAATCTTTTCCATATCCCCCTTCCTCGCGAACCAAATCTTTTGGGGGTAGGTTCAAAAGCTCTCTTGCCAGCACAAGTACATATAAGACCAGGGGTGCACTGTGCTTCTTACTTGTATAACAGGATGTCCGCTGCCTGGAGCACTGGGTATGTGAGCAGGCCCACAGTTCCACCATGCTTCTGTGTGGCAATCTTTGCCTGTGTGGTGAAAAGAGAGGAGGGAAAGAAATCCTACATGAACATAATTATACTGTTAAATTAGGAAATCTTTAAAGCAAGCCAAGAAAAGTCTGAAGCTACTGTACTTCCATTATATCTCAGTTCAGTTCCTTTTAGCAACACTAAAAGCCATGTGGCTGGCTTGGCTTCATGACGCAGGCTCAGGCAGGGATGAAGGAAATCCACTTCACCATAGCCCCTGTAATAGATCCTGCACTGCCACCATTTCTTATTCATTTAATTAAAGCAAGGATAGAAAGGTCTCTCGGTTCCAAATCAGATAAACTTCATATTTCACAGGTAAGGTTAGAAAATGTAATGAAATTAGATTTCTCACAAATTAATTAATTTGATAAGTTAACATCAAATGCCATATTGTTATATCTGTGGAAACCTCCCAGAAAGTCTCCCACTGTGCTACTGACAAAAATGTAATGGCTCCCCAAAATCACACTTACAAAAACAAAAAACCAAAAGTCATGGCACTTAAAAAATGAAATTAAGGAAAACTGTAACCTAACCAATTATGAATCTGTTTTGACTTGCAGGTGTGGACAACAGAGGGGGTAAAGTGATTCCCGTGAACAGGACAAGTTATACAAACTAAAATATTTCCTTAATGGGGAAGCCGATAGTAACACCAGAGATGATACTAGAAGTGTTTAATTAATGGATGCCAACTACAAGCTTCAAGTATGTACCCCCAAACATAAGCCCTAGTGATGCCAATTCTCTGCCACAGCTAAGCATTGCTAACAGGTAATTTGGCTCTCTGGATAGAACTGCTTATTAGGGAATACTGTGTGCCATTCACTGGTCATTGCTTCTAAGGCCTAAGCATATGATCTCTTGCAAACTGATAAATGGTTATTTGGGTGTGCAGATATTCATTTAGTTAATATGAATCACCTCCCTGAGGTCTATTTCTGAATGAACTGAACAACTAAATATATAAACTTGCATGGTTCTGAGGACCACATTCATGGGCTCACAACTCGGGCTCCCCAACCAGCATGCAGATACACCCTTTGAGTCTGGCTCTGAAAAGCAAGTTTCTCTTTAACCAGCTTAATGTCAATGTCCCATAATTTAGGCACACACTTAACTCTTCTGGTAACTTCAAGTAGTTTGGGGCTTATAGCAACAAATGCTATAGGCTACTCCAAGGAAATGTGGAAGTTTGAACATATAATTCCTTCACTACATCTCTTCATTGTAATGTCCATGATATAGCCCAGTTTGCAATGATCACTGGATAAAGATAATATAAGTTTAATCTGGAAATGAGCAAATGGGAAAAGAACCCAATTTTTAAAAACTGCTGCTGCATTTGATTTATAGTCTTTTTATATTAGAATACTGGGCTTTGAAATTGCAAAGGAAGGGGGAAGATGGGAAAGCATTATTATTTACTGAGTGCCTGTGATGTGCCCCAGAGGCCTTCCACCTGTGTTACCACTGTGACCTCAGCAGCCCTGACCACCTTTCTACCCTACAATTCCCCCTAGTCAACACCAAGCTAGGTGCTCTTAGACCTTCCTACAGTACTAGCACCCCTCTCTCTGATCACTCCTTACACTCTTGGATTGCTGGTGCAATTGCCTCTGCTAAAACAGACTACAAGCTTCATGAAAGTAGCTGGGCCCATCTGTCCTGGTCACTGCTGTAGCTCCAGCACTGGTGTGGTATGAGACTTGCAGGAAGCATCACCAGTATTTGTTAGTGAAGAAATGACCAGAGAAGGCAGTAACATGCTCTGGGATAAGGCTGCCATTTGAATCCATGTTTTTCCCACAAATATCACAGTAGGTGCCTGGGTGGCTCAGTGTCTTGGTTTTGGCTTAGGTCATGATCTCAGATCTGCTATGGAATCCTGCTTTAGCTCTGTGCTCAGTGGGGAGTCTTGCTTCTCTCTCTCTCTCTGCCCCTCCCCCTGCTCACACTTCTATCTAAAAAATAAATAATTCTCTCTTTTTCAAAAAGATTTTATTTATTTATTCATGAGACACAGAGAGACAGAGAGACAGACAGAGAGAGAGAGAGAGAGAGAGAGAGGCAGAGACACAGGCAGAGGGAGAAGCAGGCTCCATGCAGAGAGCCCGATGTGGGACCTGATCCTGGGACCCTGGGATCACACTCTGAGCTGAAGGCAGATGCTCAACTACTGAGCCACCCAGGCATCCCGAAAATAAATAATACTTAAAAAAAAATTATAGGCTGGTGGGAATGCTTCTCCTGGATACAGGTTTCCCCTGCTACCTGAAAGTTCTCATTATGCCACTTTGCTTTTCTGAAAGACCTATGTTAGTACCTGCTTTTGCTAACTGAGAGAAACCAGAGGAGTATTTTCGCCTTTATGAAATGGTACTTGCTTCTTGGCTCTGCTCCGTTTCGGCTTATGGAAGGTTTCATAGGGATATTCTAGTTTTGGATAGTGGGAAAAACCTGAGTCAGTGCATTCTCTAGTCATGTGTTATCAGTAGGTACTCAGACACAATTTTAAAGTGGGAACATTTCCCCTTAAATCAACATTTGGTTCTTATGAAAAGGATTTCCGTATTCACCTTTCTTGGCTAAAACGAAAACATGGTAGAGAACATTACAAAATTTTGCATCCAATTCCTGGCCGGTAATGATTCTGTAGCATTACCACTTAACCTCTTACTTAGACACAGTCACTTTTCTTTTTCCATTTTTAGATTTCTTTCTTTCTTTCTTTCTTTCTTTCTTTCTTTCTTTCTTTCTTTCTTTCTTTCTTTCTTTCTTTCTTCTTCTTCTTCTTCTTCTTCTTCTTCTTCTTCCTTCCTTCCTTCCTTCCTTCCTTCCTTCCTTCCTTCCTTCCTTCCTTCCTTCCTTCCTTCCTTCCTTCCTTCCTTCCTTCTTAAAATTTATTTAAATTCAATTTGCCGGGATCCCTGGGTGGCGCAGCGGTTTGGCGCTTGCCTTTGGCCCAGGGCGCGATCCTGGAGACCCGGGATCGAGTCCCACGTCGGGCTCCCGGTGCATGGAGCCTGCTTCTCCCTCTGCCTGTGTCTCTGCCTCTCTCTCTCTCACTGTGTGACTATCATAAATAAAAAAAAAAATTAAAAAAAATAAATTCAATTTGCCAACATATAGTGTAACATCTGGTGCTCATCTCAGCATGAGACACAGTCACTTTAAAGCTCTGTTTCTCTCTGCAATGGATATGGAGACTTCTGAATCAGCTTTTGGAGAAGACAACGGCCCTGAACATATGCCGGAAAGAAGTTTGAAACCAAAATTCAGTGTTGACGCACTTAGGAGCTACCTACCCTCAGGTCATCCAATTGCAAAAATAAATGGAAAAGAAGTACTATGAATTATCCAATTTATCTTTGTCAGTTGAGCTTCCTAGAAAAAGTACAGCCTTAATTTTTCTGTGGGTTTGAACTGTTGCCTGGACTCAACCTGTTTAAATGTTAAACAAAATATGTTGTTCCTTCTTCCCACAGTGAAAACATTTGAGCCTTACTGCTGGCTCATGACAGTGGCGATGGCAGGCAGTAATCCAGAAATTGTGATTGTTTGTTAATTATAAGTGGTAGGTCCAAAGTCATTAACAAATCTGTGCAAAGGTCATTCTGATTCAACCTCCGCAGATAAAATCAAACAGTTAATAATTTGGATATTTTTATCCTGTTCTTAAGTTGGAATCCTGGAGAACCAACCCTCTTGCTTTCTACTTCATGCACTGAGGCAGAGAGGTTAAGATGCTGTCCTAGCCACTGGTGAATAACAGACTGGGGAGGCCAGTAAACTCAGGATTCCCAGAGCAGAACACAAAAACAAACAGAAGAAAAAAACAGTTGTAATGGGGGAGTTTGTTTTTGTTTTGTTTTGTTTTTTTAATTTAAATTCAATTTGTCAACATATAGTATAACACCCAGTGCTCATCGTAATGGGGACTTTGAACTGCTTTTTGTTTATTAATCAGATCACTGGCATTTACCTTCCACTGGTGTAAATGCTGTAACCGGGGAAGTCTGACCATGCAGGTAAGGATCCAGCTTAACTGTGTGTGTTCGGATACCTAGAGAAATAAAATAGGACATTAGCAAAGGTGGTCAATGTTTTCTTGACCAAAGAAAGAGGCAATACAAAACAAACAACAGGTATTACCTCAAGTGGCTGAAAATACCTTAAACAAGGTAATTAAAAAAAAAAAAAAGACAAGCAAAAGGGACTGATTCATTAATGCACAGGATTTTAGATGAGGAAGAAATTTTTAAAACAATACAATTACTGTTCTAGTGCTTAAATCTTCTTCATAACATCCCAGACTCTGCTTCAATATCCTCAAGGAAAGGAGTTCATTGTGTCCTAAGGCATCTATGGAAAGGTAGTGGCTTTAAAGTCAATGATTGAATCTTTTAGACCTGGAGTAATTTTAAATTTAGGAATTGCTTTATCATCCCAAAGGGTGATTTTTTTTTACGGTTTCTATTTCTTCCTTCCTTTTTCTTTTTCTTTCTTCCCTATTTCCCCCCTCATCATCATCATCGACTTCCTTCTTTCTTCACTTTTTATTTTATTTTTTTTAACAGTTCTTTTTTTTTAATTTTTTTTTTTATTTATTTATGATAGTCACACAGAGAGAGAGAGAGAGGCAGAGACATAGGCAGAGGGAGAAGCAGGCTCCATGCACCGGGAGCCCGACGTGGGATTCGATCCCGGGTCTCCAGGATCGCGCCCTGGGCCAGAGGCAGGCGCCAAACCGCTGTGCCACCCAGGGATCCCTTCACTTCTTTTTAAAAAGAGGTCTAGTCAACAAGAAAATATAACTTTTTCTCAATTTTTTTTTAATCAAATTTAATCAAGTAACCAAACCTGGCAACAGATGGGATGATTCTTGGGTCCAGGCCAGGTTAGAACTGATGACCTAGAATTTAAGGCCTATATATCGCATTTCTGGACTCTGGGGATCCCAAGCCCTTCATCCATTGTGCCTTTTTTTGTGTGTGTCCATATGATTTCCTTAAAATGCAGAGACTGTTGCCAACTCTGAAAAGTGGCCCCAAATGTGTTTTTTTGTGGGTTTTGCAAAGGGAACATAAAGGAACAGAGAGCCGAGTCAGCCCAGGCCTATTTTACTAGCAAGGAATCACCATCTGGTGTCAGATAGTTTCTCATTTTTTTCCTTGAGTCATGGAGAGGGAAGAGTTGTTTTTCACATGTTTGACAAGGAATTGCTTTTAAAGTTTTGCAAGTCGCTGGGCTGAATCCGTCATCTTTCTTCCAAGAGGCATTTGGGTTTCATTGAGAGCAGCACTGTCCATGCAAATTGCTAGCTGCTGCTGTAAACAAACAGCTATCAGACAAAAACAGTAACCCTGGATGGAAGCAAGAAGATTATAGTTGCTTCCAATCAAGCAAAACACGTTCGCATTAGAACTAATAAAACAAGAGTTGGTTTTTTTGTTTTTTTTTTTTTTTTGCATGAAGAAGTAGGAGAAAACTTTTTCTTCTTCTTTACTGAATTAGGGAAAGAGATGAAAATACAGAAAATAACCATGCATATATAGAAAGATACAAGGTGACTTCTTTCCTACAACTCAGGCTTCAACACTCAGTTTTGGTGATATGCAAAAGCTACCATCATGCCTTCCTGAAATCAAGTATTTTCCGTGGAGTAGCTTTTTATTTGAACATATGGAATGAAACTTATTTAATCTTCTGCAGAGCCCTTCCTGGCATTTCTAAATAAGGGGGCATAAAATTAATCCAAATGATTCTTATACAGAAAAAGGTAAAAAGACAAAGGCAATTTTCATAATTTATCATTAATAATTACATAAGAAGGGATAGTATACTTCAGGATTTGGCTCTCTTAATTTATCCATATTCATGACAACTGCTTGGAAAGGTTCAGATTTCTATCTGGGGAAAAGTGAAAATGGTATCTAAATATAGTAATTCCTACTAAATGTTGCAAAACAAACACAAAAACCAGATGATCCATTTTAGCCACAGGAAAAAAAATGCATGGAACACAGAAGGTGGCTTGTTGACCACCCACAAACAAGTTAGCAGTGATTAAAGATTCTGACCCCCCCTAATTGTACCAAGTAAAGACATACACATCCTTCAGTTACAGGCAGTTTTGCCTGGTTTGTTCACTGCAGTAAAACAGAGTCTGGCACACTGTGCTCAATAAATATTTGCTGAATGTATGAACAATGGCAAGGGCTACAGGAAGAAAGGTAAGGACCAAAAAGAATCCCTTTGATTTAGCAATAGATTAAAAAAAAAGATTTTATTTATTTATTTGAGAGAGAGAGAGAGAGAGAGAGAGAGCACAAGCAGGGGGTGGGGAGGGGCAGTGGGAGAAGCAGACTCCTTGCTGATCAGGGAGCCCAACGAGGGGCTCAATCCCAGGACCCTAGGATCATGACCAGAGCTGAAGGCAGACGCTTAACTGACTGAGCCACCCAGGTGCCCCAGCAACAGACTTATTGGTGATCCAGGCAAAGCAGTTTCAGGAGAGGAACTGGGATGGGAGCTAAATTATAGAGGGGTGGGTTGAAGTGTGACAAGGAGGCAGGATACAAGGACAGAGATACAAGAAATACAGCAGAGCGTTTCAGAGCTCTACCTTTGAAACAAGGCTGCCTGGATCTGAATGCTAGCTCAGCCATCACCGTGCTGGGTGACCCTGTGTAAGTAACTTCATCATGCTGTGCCTCAGTTTCCTTATTTATAAAATGAGGCTACCAATACTATTCACCTGACAGTGCTTAGAACAGTACCCCTAGCACACAGCAAGCATTCAATAAATTATGGTTGTTATTATAAATAACTTTTAGAAACATTTCTGTTTTAACTTTCTATTTTGAGGTAATTATAGATTCCCATATAGCTGAAAGAAATAATACAGTGTAACCCAATATACCTTCACCCAATTTCCCTCCAATGGCAACATCTGCATAACTATACTACAATATCACAACCAGGAAATTGAACTGGATACAATCCATCTACCCTATTTAGATTTCACCAGTATTTCATGCACTCATTATGTGGGTATATTTAGTTCCATGCAATTTTATCACATTTGTAAGATTATTTCTTTTTTTCAGGAAGGAGAGAGATGGGAATAACTAGGAGGGGTTAGAGAATTAAAAAAAACAACTTATTTTGTTTTTTTAAGGTGGGATAGATCTACTTTCTATGAATGTCTTCCACTAAAGCAAGGGGAGGCGAAATAAATACAGCAAGGATTTATCTTATGGGGTGGGAGTGGAGAGCAGAAAGTTAGAGAATATCACATCTAATAGGCTCTGTCATCTCTGAAAATAAAAGGTGGGTGAATTGAAACAAATGGGATGAGAAATATACTCAATGGAATTGCTGGGTTTGATAGCAAAGAACAAAAAATCCTCTGGAATAGAATTATGTAAGGCTCGATGTTTTGTGGATGAAAAAGGACAGTTGTTCAAAAAATACACTCTTGGGAAAGCACTGCAGTTCTTCAAGTTAGACTAAAATGTTCTCCATAAATCATAGGTTTTTAAAAAAATTTTCAGAAAAAATTAAATCAGTCGATTGTATTTGATTTCCTTGAGTCAGTAAAAAAATCTTAACGGGATCCAAGAAGTACTAGACATAAAGCAAAAAATATTGAGAAATTAAATTACATCAAATTTAAAAGAACTTGTTTTTATCAAACACTACCGTTTAAAGAAGAAAAGGGCAAATCACAGTGTGGAAGGAGTTTTTTAAACCTATGCAGAAAATATTGGTACACAGAATATGCAAAAAATTCCTACAAATTGGGGCACCTGGGTGGCTCAGTCAGTTAAGTGTCTGACTTCAGCTCAGGTCATGATCTGGGGTCCTGGGATTGAGCCCCATGTGGGGCCTCATGTGAAGCCTCATGTAGAGCCCCATGTCACACTCTGTGCTCAGTGGGGAGTCTGCTTGTCTCTCCCTTTCTCCCAGCTTATGCTCTCTCTCTCTCTCAAATAAATAAAATCTTTAAGAAAAAAAAGAGAAGTCCTACAAACTGATTAGAAAACAGCAGATAATACTATGAAAATGAGCCAAATGCATTAAGCTCAAATTAAATTCATAATATGACACCATACATACTCATAAGGATGATTAAAATGAAAAAATTAAATAATACCAAGTATGCCAAGGATACTCAGTAAATATAATGGTTATACACTAATGTGGGAATGTAAATTGGTATACCAATGTTGAAAACTGACTGTATCCACTAACATTTAACATTCATACAACAAATGACCCAGGTGTTCTATTTCTAGGTATATATATTTAAAAAATGTGCATATGCACCAAGATATATGTGCAAGAATGCACTGTAACAACCCCAAATTGTAAGCAATCCAAATGTCCACCTACATAGACTAGATAAATTGTGGTATATTCATACAATGGAATACTATAGCAATGAGGATGGATGAACAATTGCATTCAACAATGTAAATGAATTTCATAAACATAATATTGAGTGAAAGAAGCCAGACACAAAAAAGTATATACTAAATAATTCAAATTATACCAAGTTTAAAGACAGTTTATCTTGGCGGAGGGACAGTTAGTGACCAGAAAGAGGCATGAAGAACATTCTGGGTACAAGTTCATGGGTGTGTTCAGTTTGTGAATGTAGATAAAAGGCTAGGAAATCTAACTACATTTGGTCTCAAATAAGATAAAATTAAAATTTTTTGGTGTTAAAACAAGGTAGAGGGCCTTCTGGAATGGCAGAGTAACAACCTCTGAAAATTGCTCCTTCATAAAAGCAATGAAAAATTGTCAAAGTCAATTCTTACAGAACTCTGGAAAATTGACCAAAGGCCTGGAATAATGTAAAGAGTACTGATTTAAGAAAAATATCTGAATCTCAGTAAAAATGGAGTTTTGTGGCATTTTAATTCACCCTACTCTCATCATTGTTGCTCCACGTCTGTGGTAGCTATGAAAACCAGCAGCATCATAGCCACTGGAAGGGGAAGACTGGGTTTGGCGCTTCTCAAATAGACAATTCTCATTTACAGAGAATTGTCA